TTACAAACAACTCAAAAAGGAAACGACAAAAACGAAGCTTCTAATTAGCCAACAAGACACAAATACCTAGATCAGCAATTATGAGGATGCATGAATACAATAATCGTGAACATTCACTCGAATAGACGTAATTGACCAGATGTTAAAACCCAAGTGATTTCGCATTACTAAAGTCTCTAAATAATTATGCACTGCTGCAGTAACGACAAATTGCTCAATCTGCAGTCAAGATTAGATACGATCTATCAAAGACTACATGCATGCAGAAAAATGCCTTCACATAATTTGGTAAAAAAACTAAGACCAAATCCGTCTTTAACAGTTATCTACCAATAACAGTGAAGAACGCTAATCCATTACTTGGGAACACCAGAAAAGCAAATGCAAAAACTTCACGCGCACAGAACTAAAGCAAATGCAAAAACTTCACGCGCACAGAACTAAAGCCCACCGTAGAGCAAACGGGAAAAAATGATATTGTGCAACGATTCGAAAACTATGAGCAATGAAGACTCTCTAAAGATACAGACTTAATCTAGTATCATCAAAGAACATATAAATATCTGGATAACAATTTAAGATCACATATGCCCAAGATCTCAACATTATTAAAATATATAAAGTGAATCTGTCCAATTTCCTAATGGATGTAAGTAAACATAAAATCCCATCTGCATTCACCACGGAACAACATGTATTCACAAAACAAAGACAAGCATATAAAACTAGTCGAAATCAAAAGGAAAAATAATGTCTCAGCTCAAACGAACTCGAATTTTCTCATGCAAATTCAGTACCTTATTTTTTATACCGAAGACTTCAAATCAACTTGGGCTAAAATTGAATCAGTCCCTGAAAAGCTCACAAATATAATATCCAAGAGCCCAGATTTTATTTTCTATCTATATATTCTTGGAAAATTGTGACATCCTCAATCTGAACAAAACGAAAAATTGAGACCAACAACCTCTGAAACCTCAAATCTTGTTTCCAATTATGCTCACAACACAAAAAGAAAAACGAACAACTGCAAAAGCCAAGAAAGATTAAATCTTTTTTATTTATTTATTTTTTCAGATGAAAAAAAGAAAGCAAATTTGAGCTGAAAAATAAAAAGAAAAAAAGAACAGGAAAACCCTATTGTTTGATGAGCGGAGAATTAGATGAAAATGACACCAAGATCCGCCTTTTCACACACAGGGAAAAAAGATAGATGAGAGAGAGATAGAGAGTGAGTAAAATTCTAGATAAAGAGAGAGAAATGTACAAACCAAAAAAAAAAAAAAATTGCAAATTTTTGAAAACAAAACCAAAAATAACAAATAAAAATCCAATTTAGAAGGGTTAGATGGCAATTAGAAGAGGCAAGGTAGATGAGAGTTTTGTGGGTTGATCAACACCTCATTTTTAAAATTTTTAAAATTTTTTTTTCAGATTTATTTGCAAATTTAGTAGCTCAAATTTACACCAAAACACACACAAAAACACACACTACTCTCCCCCTTCATTTGCTTTGATTTTTTTTTTTTTGTAGCCATTTGCATGATTTGTTTGTTTTTATCATGTGTTGGCACAAGACTACCCACATATCACACACACACACACACACACACACACTCTCTCTCTCTCTCTCTCTCACTCTTACTGTGTGTTCTTTGTGAGAGAAGGTGAAAACCAAAACCCCTGGGGAGAAAAGTTTGTTTGAGGTGGCTGTGTTTTTTCACTTTAGCTTCATTCATTACACCACAATACTAAAAACTTGTGGTTGTTGACAGGCAAAATTATGTGGAAGGTACAAACTTCATTGCAATGTGTACTTTCTCACTGCTATTTTAGTATTTACTCCTCTGCTTTGAATTTAATGCTCATTGACTGTGAATTGCCAGTTGATAAAAATATCTCAATGTGTTGCTTAAATTAATAAAATTATAGCATGTGTTGCTTTATAAGAACAAAATGAGAATAATTAAATTAATTACAATGTTGAAAATATTATATAATTTATATACAAATTATTATCTGGGCTTATTTGAAATGATTAAAAAAAAAAAAAAAGTTGGGGTTGTTTTAATACAGCAACAAATGAAGATGTTCCAAATATGAGAGATCAATTATGTACATTTTAATGATTATTATTTCATTGTTGGACTTGCATATTTTGGAAAGTACAATTGGTGTCATAAATGAAAATGCCTTCTATTTGGTGATACCAAAAACTTGTACCTTTTAAGTCCACTGAAAGTGCCATGTGCGCAGTTGATACCGGTTGTTAAGAGCATGTTTGTTTATAAGAATTTTTAAAAAAATTCCAACATTTTAATTAAACTATTTTTTTTTTAATTCAACTTTAACTCTACACCACTATTATTAATATTATCGATATAATTAAATAATATCAATCAATCATTCATACACACCACATTAACTTTAATTCACTATTCATCTACTCACATAATTTTAACTAATCATCACATCACATCTTCTCTCCTACTTTTACATCAATTTAATTTTAATTATTTTATTTTAAATATTATTTTAATATATCCACTAACAACTAACCATACAACTTTTTCAAATTAACCAAACCAAACAAAAAAATCCAAACAACCCCAAAATATTTCATAAACAAACATGCTATTAAAAGTCCCTTTCTAGGGTTTCGTTCTCTCTTGAGATTTCAGTTCCACTAGGTGGATTTTGCTCTACCTTTCTTCATTGTCCTTTTTAGTTTCGATTTTAGTGTTTGGATCTTATGCATTTCTCTGGTAGTTCTTCGTCAGTCTCTTTTCTAGGGTTTTCCTTGGGTTTCTTTTGAGAGTCAGTTCTGTTGCTATGGAGTCAGTCTATAAGATTTGTGGGGGTTGATAGGATTGCATTTCCTTCGCGAGACCTAGTCGAGATGCCCTTTTGTTCTATTTGCTGTGCGTGTTGAGAATTGCTGCTACTTTAGTAGGTTTCTCTTGCTCTTGCTTATTATTTCTGTTGTTGGTTTGTGAATTTGCTGTATTTTTAGCTCGCATGTCTTGTCTTTGTTCTGTTTAGGTTTAGGATTTTGCTTTGCTGATTTCTGGGTTTTTAGGTTGTCTGCTTTATTTGGTCCTTTTGCTTGATTCTTGCTTGGTTGTTCTGATAGTGTAGCTGCTTTTGTGTGTTTTTTGCTTGACCTAGATTTTGTTTCTCAACATGATGGATCAGGAATTAGTGGATAAGTTGAATAAATTTAAGTTATCTGATAAGGAATCTGGCCTGGAACTTTATGTTGATGATATTGTCCCCCTAGTCTTAATGAATGTAAGCTTAGCTTAATAGGTAAAATTTGGGGAACCAAGAAGGCTAACTTTAGTGGCTTGAAAACTACTCTGAGTAGTATTTGGACCACTAGAAAGCCTTTTGCCTTTAGAAACTTGGGTCTCAACAAATTCCAGTTTTTGTTTGAATGTGAAGAGGATAGGGATAAGATTCTTCAAGGGAAAACCTGGTCTTTTGATGGCCAGTACATACTCTTGAAGAAATGGACTGCTCAATCCCAAGACTTCTCTCCTGAGGAGGAGGTTATTAAGGTTTGGGTCCATATTCTTAATCTCCCCTTGCACTGGATATCTGAAAAGACTGGTCTTAAAATCGGTCAGAGGATTAGGGAAACTCTTTCTATCCAAATTCCTAGTACAGGTGGCCAAGTGGGGCAAGTGATTAAGGTCCTGGTGAAACTCAAAGTTAATGAGGCTATCCCCAAAGGGACTCTTATTAAAGTAGGGGAAGAATCTACTTGGGTAGACTTTAGATATGAATCTCTTCAAACTTTCTGTTGTTATTGTGGGTTTATAGGTCACTCTGATAGGACTTGCTCTACTAAATCTGTAGATATTAAAAATAATGCCTTGCAGGTAGGTCAATTTGGGGAGTGGTTAAAAACCAGCTCTATTTCTCATACTTCCATCAAGAACCTGAGTTCTCAGGAGACATGAAGTCAATCCATTGAGAAAACTAATCTTACTAGTCCTGTCCAGTTAGGGGGTAGAAGTGAGACAGGGGAGGGAAGTGGGAAGTATGTCCCTCCTAGTATTAGTAATGCTTTCATTGTGGATAGGGGTAGTCGGCATGAGGAAGAGCCAATAGAAGCCAGTCCTATTGTTCCTCCTATTCTTCCTGAGAAGGATAGTACTCTATGCCCTAAACACCAAGCTGTTGAACATACCATGATATCTCAGGCATTAGTTGCTGAACAAACCCCTATGCAAGACTCTGTTAATTTAGAGTCAAACCTGGTGGATGTCACAATCCAACCTTCCCCAGT